CTTTGATCGGGATTCCCGTGCAAAATGACCAGGTTTTTGGCAGGCATGACACTTGCGTGTTTTTGATGCTGGCATGTGCTTATTTTCGCACAGGAATTGTCGAAACGCCGTACAGACCACATCCATATTATCGTTCTCGCTGATAACTTTCGTGCGTCTCATCTCCACGCTTGGCGTCCATAGCACACAAGCTGCTTCTTGTGTAAGCGTGAAGCCAAGCGTTACCGTAAAAGTCGTTTTAGGTGACGTCCATACAGCTTTTTTAAGCTCCGCGTCACGAAGTTCTTTAACAAAGGCGTCGATTTTTAATCTTTCCAGCACGTCATTGGGCACACCGATATACGCGAGATTGGCGAGGAGACAACTCTACGTAGCTTACCTCTTTTACATGTTTACTACCATATTTCTTTTCCAATGCATCCATAATTTTTGCGAATTCTGTTCTTTTTCCTTCCGGGATCATGTGGATAATATCCGCTACTGCTCCTGTCAAGGAGGTTATTAAGGCGACTGCTTTCTCGTCATCATTCCGCATATTTTTTGTTGCACTAACACCAAATTGTAGCTTAAATGCTTTGAAGTTAGTACTGCCGTCAAGTAGAGGTGTTTTTACTTTGATAGAGCTGCTGGTCACCTCATTAGTTTTTAGCTTAGCCATCGTTTTTTTTAGGCTTTTATTGCAGTTTTTACGGCGTCTGCATCTTCTTCCTGGGCGTTTATTCTCGCATCCAACTGGCCTATCGCATTATCAACTTTTTCTTCCAGCACCTTAACTATGCCTTCGAATTGCTGGTACGTTTCGTCTGTATGCGTTCGCAGGATGCGTTGATTTCCCTGAATTTTCTCGTCAATTCTATCTGTTGCGGTTATTGTTGCAGTTGTTGTTCCATTTTTTGTAACAACTACATAACGTTTGATATACTTGCATCATCTTCGTCTTTTTCTTCGGTGTGTTTTTCTCCCAAGTTGTCGGTTTGCTCCCTTTCCTCGATATTATATTCATATTCAAGTATGGAGAGGTCCTCTCCTTCTTTTTCTAGATGTTCGATCAGTCTTTGTTTTAATTCAGCTTTGCTACCGGTTGTACGAAGGTTTGTTTTTTCCAGCACCTGTTTGAGCTGATCTACTTTGAGTTCTTCTAACTTCACCATTTCTCTTGATTTCCACGATCTCACTTCTGACATCAATTGTTATAAAATTCGCTTTTTTAAGATACAGTTCGTATCACTGGACTGTAGATATCTTGTTCAGGAAAAATTCACTTCAAAGTTCTCTTATTCACAATTATATTCCTTAAAATGTAGGATTATTCACAATTTAGTTTTGGCAATACTTTCAACTGCTCAACTGAAAATTCTTTTTCTACCAATTCTGCCTTTCACAAATATTCTACTTATATATATTTTTACAAGCGTATTACTATTCTTAAATTCGTGGCTTCATTTCTAATTCATTAACCTGTTTTCCCCTAATCGTTTTCGTCAACTGGCAGCTTCATAATGCGCTTGCGAAAGTGCACTTGGTTTTTCCCCGTCTGTTTTCCCACTAATCGTTTGCATCGGCCGGCAGCTCCATTTTTAGGGAATTTATTATTTAATTAGCTAGAATGAACTGGGTTTGTGATTTTTGTATCAGAGTCTATCTATACAAGTTTGCAAATTATGTATTAATAACTGCTCGCATTGATTTTGATCAGCGACATCTGTTGGTGAAAATGATAAAATAATACGTAACATTAACGTATACAAAGTGCATTCATTACATTTATTGTTTGATTTAAAAAGATCTGCTGCCGAAGTTCACCAGACATTTTTACAGGCGTATGGTGATGCTGGTTCCAATTGTTGGTTTTGGTTCCGATTTAAAAGGGGTGATTTTGATGTCAATCACAAAGACGACCAAGAGGAATAAAAAACTTTAAAGGCAATGAATTGCAAAACTTTTTGAACGAAAACCCCAACTCAAACTGTCAGAAAACTTTCAAAAAGCTTAGAAGTTGATGAATAAACTGTTTCTAAACGTTTACATATCGACAGCGAAACGGAATATTCATGGCCATCAAGTTTTGCTGTGCATATGGTGGTGTTAGTAAGATGTATCTATATGGCTGCTGAAACCGAATCAGACTGCTACGTTATGTTAAAGTTTCGTTTCTCGGCTTATTTTGCTCACATTCACGTACGAGATAGCATTCGGCATTGCCTGATGACATGCTTTTTTTTTCTACATTTATGCACACAGCTATTAAATACGCTCTCTCATATCTCCCAAATTACGCCAAAGCTAAATAACTCACGGTCTGTATTAGCATCAGTTATTCTGAGTTAGTATTGATTGTTCAGAGTTGCAATTATAAGAAAAAACTACGCTAGTGGAAAAATAAAAGCAAACATATTCCTGCTATTTTTGGCTTAAATTCAAAGTCATGAGTTTAAATCATGTAAACATTGAAGCCTTACAAATTTTCGTTAATTTGGGCGTTTAAACAGTATCTCATTGGCTTAGCTCATTCCATATTCAGGAAAAAAACTTTAATTAACAAAGAAAAACAAAACAGAAAATCGTTAAGGAAAAGAGTTTGAGCTTCTGAAAGGGAATTAATATATTGGTAAATGGTAATAAATATTCATTTTGTGTTAATCAAAATATGTAAATAAATAAATGTAAGAATAGAAGAGCGCAAAAGCAGATATAATCCCAGGAAAATAATAAGAATCTCAAATGCTTATGCTCAAACAAGTGTAAAATTGAAAAAGCGAAGATTTTGATTCCTCAGCGCCAGAAGCATATTTATGTGATGATTTCGATGTTTTCATCTTTCATTTCATCAGAGGGAAGCATTATCTGTTATTTTTTGAATTTTGACAGTCAGAAATAAATATAAACAGAACTGGTTCGTATCTACCAACACGAATATGTAAGAAAAGTCTTACGTAAAGCAAAAAGGAACACTTTTTAACTATTGGCTGCGTTGTGAGTAAAACCTAGCCAGCAGATACGTTATTACCGCTGGGGTTTATTAGCCTACGAAAACCAGAAAATGAAATCGAAAAAAAGACATAGCGTTACAGAGTGGAGCAAATTGTGGGTATATATATATCTCATTTATTTTAATATAATAATTTTTCTCTTGGAAAAAGCTTAGAAATCTTTTATATTGCAATCTAATGGGATTGATTAAATTATAAATTAAAAAAAACCATGGTGTTTTTTGTACGCCTACCTTTGCTTATTTTCTACAAAATTTCATAAGAATATTGCAATTATTTTCTCTTCTCGTTTTCTGCACACTTTCCTTTTATATTTTCTTTCAATACCATATAATGAAAATGCTTAGTAGCCTGGTGAAAAGCGTATCATAAATTTGTCATGTTTTTCAAAATCTCTAGCTTTATACTTAACGTCAGAATATAAAAACGCAGAAAAATATCGCAAGATCGGTTTTACCGTTTTTTGGCAGAAATATAGGGTTAGTAATCTCGCAGTGATTGCAATTAGGATAAGACGACAAGGCTTTCAAATTTGTGTATACTTTACATTTTATTTAAGCTAAGAGGAAAATTAGCGATTTAAGCTTCGGTTTCTTCTTCATCTTCTCCTGGGGGGGTGTATTACGGTCTCTGGTTTTGAAAGTTTTAAATAAGTCGAAACGTAAGTTTAATTCTTATTTCTGGTTATTCTTCCAGCGTGAATGATAGCGTCGGAAGTAATAATAAAAGTCATACAAAAGCAAAAAAATACTCGATCAGCCTATGATTATGAGAACTCGAGGCTCAGGAATAAAGATAACTGGCTATATAATTAATTTAATGCTATTGTAAGAAGTAAAAATAGAAAATATTCCAGATGCTGCTTTATTACCGCAAAAGAAGAAATTTAAATCCAAAGGGCCAAAATGTCACAAGTGTCAAAAATTTGGCTAAGTATCAAAGTAAATTAAGATAAAAATAGGATAAGGCTGTGATTGGTTTGTTTACAGCAAATAACTTGAGCAAAAGCAAATTGCTATATAATTCAAATACATCCGTTCCTACATGCAATGACTAATCGTAATTGGGTAACACTGTTTGGTATGAGATAATGTCGTTATCGCAAATAATTCAATATTGTTGCAACAACAGCAAACATTAGTTCTAAAAGGGAAGATGCGGTATTATCCTAACATAGGATATGCAATGGAGGCTTTATCTAGATTTAACAGATATCATCAAAGTGAAGCTTTAAAGACAATTTTAAGGTGTCTTAAAAGCCCAAGCCACTGCGAATTTCAATTTATTTATTTATAATTTACAAATTACAAAAACCAAATCCGCACTTATTTACATTATAAGCGAAAATTTGGAAAGTGGCTCTGATGACGATTGGGTTGGTGATTTGGAAGATAGCAAGTCTGCCAGTGGAAATGTTTTTAAATTACTGGATGATTCGATATCATTGATGCCAAAAAACAACTGTCAGTTAATGGCTACGTTGTGAATATGGTAACAGAAGTGATCTCTACTCTTATTAGAACACGTCATTTGTCACTTTTCGGAGGAGTTGTTGGATGCCAGGAAACTAAAATTTAATTATTTGAAGAGCGATGACATGATGTGTATATTGACTAAAGTACTGCCACTAAAGAGACACAAGAATTGTTTGGAATTATTAATTCCAAATTAGTGGGGGTATAGGTATAAAAAGTTAATGTAAAGTACGCTACGAGGTTTATGTATATGCATTCATTATTACTGCGCCAACAAGAGCACTGAACTGTTTCAATTTTTTATAGAGTAGAATTTGTGCTGGGCGTTCTATCTTGAACATGACAAAAACGTCGGTGTCTTGTCTTAATATATATATATTTCGAAATTAAAAATTAAGTAATTCATAAATTACACTTTAAATGTGGCCGATGAAGTGAAAGCACGCATTTCATAGCATTACTGCAATAATACATCGCTCAAAGGGCTCATCCTATAATAAATGTCTCATTAATAATGAATTCATATGATTTTTAGGTAATACTTTCCTCCTCAAGCCATGTGTCAACTTTACATAAAATTGCGACCATTAGCTTTAGAGTTACGATCGCTGTAGTGAATCTAAACACGAAATGCAGTTTTTCGATTGTTTCGCGAAAACAAAAATAGTGAAAACGCATCATAAATTCAAAAAGAGCCTGCTGCGCAGTTACGAGAAGGTGAAGAAATAAATTCAGATTGATTGCGTATGCTGGGAACGCAAAAAGACATGAAGTGGGTTCCGTATGAACTAACTGAGAAGAACAAAACTCACAAAGTTGACATCTGCATGCAATGGCTAATCCGTCATAAGAATATGGATTATGTTCATATAATTACTACAGGCGATGAAAAATGGATCTTTAACGACAATCCTAAACGAAGAAAACCACCGGTTAATTCAGGACAACCATTCGCATTTCTTATAAAGGTGAAAGTGTGCCACTGTGCGTTTAGTGGGATTGGAAAGGAATCAACTACCACTTCTTTCTTCAGGAAAGAAAACCATTTAGGAGTAAAGGACCCCGAAAATTGATTTTGCTTAATAACAATGCTCGTTTGCTTGCAGCAAAAACAACCGGGTAAGTGACCTTCAACTTGATTTGAGCATTTCACCCGATTACGGCCTATTTTTTAGAGCTTGCTCCTGTGTTCGCCACTTGTTAAGATGGAAGTAGTCATATTTATTAGATCAACCATTCACAAAGGTTGAAGATGTGCGAAAATGTCTCGAAGAACAATTCACCATATCGTTTCTACAGCGAATGGATCTGTAAAGTACCTTATAAAAAGTAAATCTTAGATGGTGATGGCGAATGTTTCAATTAGCAAGTATGTTTTAAATAAATTTGAATTTTAGTAAAAAATACGAAGAACTTAATTATACATTTAATATTATTGCATACATTTTATATGCACGCTATTGTTGTACATGAATAATAGTATAATACTATAAAAGTATAATTAACGAAATATATTTCAAGAAAGCATTCGACGTTCTGGAGCAGGTTTTAACTTTGCAATTGTTGAACGAATTCCGTTTTTTAAGTTGATCAAGGTTTCATGCATAGACTTCAGGACGTAAAATTAATATGTATGACAGAGTTTATCGCTGTGTGAAGTAAAATGACATAACCGCTTGTAATAGCATTCTTGAATATATACGCGCACACGTTTACCCAAGCTTACATTAAGGGTGCGATACACTATGACACAACATGTGTGAAAACACATAAACTTAATACCATTTTCTAATATTTACTAACTGACCAATAGGCATTTAGTTTCTAGATTTCTACAGGTTATAGGCTCACGACCTCGTTACTTTGTGATTTTAGATAGTCATGATTCTTTATTCTGACAGACTGGAAAAATGAATTTGTGTTATATTCTCTGCAATCAAGAATCTCTTTACCGTATCCCTCTTGTCATAGCGACTTACCAAATATAACATATGACTTTGCGACTGATATAAAAATATTAAGATAATATAAGCATCATACATACGTTTTGAAAAGATTTTAAAACCACTATTTGTTTAATTGCTTATCAAAGTAAAAAATATTGTTTTAATTAGATAAGATTACAGCTGGTTATACGACATAGACTAAACGACTGTTTAGTTTAGTGTCGACGCTTCCAGTGTAAAGTTATAAAGTTTAGAAAATTGATTTTGTTATTATTTTCTTTATCAAAGTGTATTAAAGTTTATTTAGGTACATAAGAGAAATTTCACTTAAAGCATTAGTAAGCATTCTTAGCATATAATGATATAATACATATATATTTAAACATATATGTATCTACTATATGCTATTTATGTACATACTAATTAATGAATTAAAATAATAGAATAAATGAAATAATGAAGTAAAATAAATTAATCTTAAAAAAAAAAATAAAACTTATTATATATAAATATATATATATATATACATGTATATATATTTACATATACAAGGAAGCAGATTATAAATCATAAATCATTCGAAAAAACAACAGTCGAAAACCGCTCAGCGTTTGAACTTGCGGTATTTCTTATCTACACCACTTAAAAGCATTCGTTATCTAATTGAAAGCAAAACAAAACAAATCTCTTGAAAGGGAAGTAACTACGTTGTCGAAATTGTCTTCAATAACTAGAGATACTTATAGTAAGCTTCAGTTTTTTGGTTGTTATGATATTGCTTCATGAAATTAAAATTTTAAACTGATTAAGAAGATATTAGGTGGTACAGAGATAAGCTATTTGAAAGATTACTAGAGATAAATACATGTATATGAAATCATATATTCCCACATATATATTTGCAAAAACTCAGATCATAAACTCAAATTCAATTCGTTTTTGTTCACAAATAAAATAATAAAAAGAACCATTTTCCTACTAAGGCGAATGTTAAGCACTCTTCATGTACTGATAAACACATAAACCCCTTGATTCAGGTCTTTCACATATTTTAAATATTTATGTTAAATATCAAGTCGATATCTGCCATTTTTTTAAAGCTATTTATAACGAGATGTGTAGTGTTTCCATTGGGGACCAGTTATGTCTTTTTTCAATGGGGAAAATTCCGAATTTTTATGCAGCTTGGAGAATTTCGGAAGGAAACGGAAGAATGCAACAAGCTGAGCAACGGATCGATTCAATATCATTCTCTAATTTCGACGATATAAACATATGTCTGTAAGTCCGTATCTCTTGTTAGAACACGGCTGCAAAAATTAAAATAAACCGTTGAAACTGTGAAGTGATCTTAACCAATGTCAATTTACAAGAGCGCCTCCACATCCACACCACCATTTCAAATTGCTTTTTTCCGACTACAATACTTTAAATATTGTTCATTATTTCATCGTTTTAATTAAACGTTCGTTTTTATTGCTTATTTTTTTCCTATTTTTTACTTTTACCAGGTACAAATATTTGTGAGCAGATAAAAAAATGACATATAATACGACAAAAGAAAATTGACGCTGTGTGAATTATAACCACATATTATACGACACTCAAATCGTGTGACAGTTGAATTGTAAGCAGCGAAAACTACAAGTCAGTGGCAACAATTTAGAAGTTGTAAATTGCAATGTACCAGTAACATTTAATTTGCTCCAATCTTGACCAAAAATTTTTGAAATATTCTATGGGAAGTGCGATCCATGCTGCATCGAAGTCATTCTTTGAAAGTTTGGATTGGGTTGAGTTTTTTAGGGGATATATTTCGTTCTGAAAATAAACGTAAAGAAAATTTCCATCTTTGCCAGGTTGTATAGTTTGCGCAGTTAATCTTTCTGTGATATAAGGCGACTTTAGTGTTTCTTTTTTAGGAATAATGTCCAATAGTATGGCCTACGTCTCCAACTAATGCAACCTCGTTGCGTATGTAAATTTTGCGCAAATGACTTAAGTACGGCGGATTCGGGATACTTTACCTTCCGACAGGCGGAACTCCAAATTTTATTAATTTTTAGTTTAGTTCGAATAAATGTTCAGTATATCGACGACAATGTAAACGAACGCAATGAAATCTGCCATCCCGAAAAATTTTTCAACTGTTTACGAGCCTACACCGGACTTCGCCAATTTAATCCTAACTAGCAAATAAGACAGAGATAGAAGGATAATTACAAACGGCTTATTTCAAATTTAAATGCTGGAATTCAGAATTCAGAGAATTTCGATTCATTGTTTGATACATTGTTCTCTAAAATATAAAAAAAAAACATTAAAGACAGAATTATAATCATTTAAAGAGTCATTTTTTAAACTCAATATTTTCCCTTTGTATGATGCTTACGTTTAAGTAGCTCTTTCGCTTTTTTTAACTCCGGTTGTGACCCCAACCATCACGTTTATTCTCCTAAACTCATTTTTCTCAATTCTTCATGAAAGAAGCCTGTTATTTTACAGGCTCATAAGCCAGAAACGTAATTTAAGTTTTTAATTTCACAGTTTTAGAAATCATTGGTTATATTGAATTATTTGATGATTTTTATTAGACTTTTTGATTTATAAGTTACGTTTGACTTATTGGGAGTGACATTGACTTCGCTTATTTCGGGAATACGCTGAAATTGGTTGTGAACACCCCAACGAGAACATGAAGATTGCTTTTTTCGTTAATCAATTTGAAAAAGTTTATTTATTTAAACATTAATTTTGACTTTTTAATTTGCTTCTGGTTACTAAATTGTATAGCCTGTTTTGCAGTGAGCACATTTTTGATGTGTTTATCTTTTTGCCCCTCGAAGATTTTGAGCTTTTGAAAGTCAAGGCGTTCTTTAAAAGATCGACTCCAGTTCTAGTGGCGTACTGCCTCGGGAATTTCATCCCAAGAAATGGACTTAACAGCAACGTCTTCCCATGCTAGTAGATGGCGCCATTGTTTTCAACTAGTCCGAAATCACTTTTACTTTGCAGTTGAACACGAAAGACTTTGGCCAAAGGATGCAAGTTGAAGCTTTGTAATCTTTTTATTGTGGCTGTCAAGGAGGGCTGACCAAAAAACAACATTCTGTCGCTCTTAGTTGGAGGACCTAAATTGTATTTGTCTCACTTTGATCCTAAAAAAAACGAAGGATTTCCTCACTCTGCAACTGGTTGGGCACGACTGATTTTGTCAATCTTTATGCGGGTTCTGATGGGTTATCCACTAGATATATTTGGAAGTTCTCGTCGTTGCATCTGTTATAGTTTATGTGCTTTAATAAGTACCTGGGTACAAGAGCTTCGATTGTTTTTGCCAAATTTAAACACTAATCTGTCTATGAAGCCGATGATATCACGGTCAAGATTCCAGTGTCTAAACCAGGGTTTAGTGTACACTTGTGGAGATAGAGAATACAAGTGCCGACCAAGTGCCGAGGTATTCTATCGTTGCTGATAATTGAATATTTCTTGTTTTTATCTTTAAAAATTTGGAATATGCTATCTTGGCGACGGCGATTTTTCAATTGATGCTAGGGACCCTAGTAAAATGAAAAATAAAAGGTTCGGAATACGAATTGTGCAACAAAGACTTGATCTCTATCACGTATTCGTAAGACCTGCCTATGCGGAACGATTGCAAAGCTTATGGGGCAAATTTTCTGCCTGACATTACGAGGAATTTGTTTTGTGCTTGCGCGGATGCTAGGCGAATTGCTTCCAAGATCGCCAGACATTCACGTATGAATATGGAGCTGTTGAGGTGGTTAGGAAAATATGCCCCATATAGATGACCACAGCCTATTACCTGCAATGTCAGACTTGGAACCATCAGTGAAGACGTAGGAAAAATGTTTCTATTTGGTGTTAATTAGATTTAAATTGAAACTAAATAAGGATCGCTAGAACGCCACCATGGAAGGAGTTTGAAATGTGAGCCATTTTGATAACACTGTAGTTTTTGACAGTGAAAGTGTCGTGAGGTTTCTATTGGAAAGACACGATACCGAGATGTTACTGCAATAAAGATGCTGTTCGAGTGGCGTTGTTTTGTTGCCGATGATGGTGCAATTAAATTGGAGAAAGTTTATCGGTAATAACTCCTGACACTTGAATCTTGGTGTGTGGTTGTTTGGAGGAAGGGACTGAATGATCTTACTGGCTAATGGTTTCACAATTTGTTAGCTGTTCTAAATTATTTTGAAGACTGATTACTACTGTGTTGATCAAATATTTATTATTGTCAGGGTTCAGCAACCTTCTTTTTCGGATGGATCGTTTAGTTTAAAATGTAGAGCGACTGGGAAAGTTTGTAGTAGCAAGTGCAAGTGTTGTTTATGTTATCGTGAGAATAAGTATTTTGTGAGAAAGTGGAAGACGTTAGTTTGGGACGGTCGGGAGAGTGTCTTTCGAATTTTTGGATTGCTTTTATGATATGTTTTACAGTTGAAAGGATGCTGAGGATTAGTGGATGCCACAGTAGGGACAAATAACATTTCGTCTTGAGCACAACTTTTTAGTGTGTCCGTAACGCTAGCATTTTCAGCATTGTATTATTGGATCGACGTATGACTTCACTGGATAGTTGACCCCTTGTATGCTGTATGAAGGCAGCTCGTTCCCCGCGAAACATTTATGTGGCATGTAGAGATCAAAACGTATGTTATTAAAGATGTCCAGTTCGCTAAAGCGCATTACTTTGACTAACTTGCAAGATGCAGGCAGTTGTGAAATTCGTAGGGCCAGAAGCGAGAATTCGCAGAATTCAGCGGGAATGTAGGCCCCGCATTTATTGTTTCATAAAGCGTCGACAGCAATAGAATTGTCTGTAGACATGTCCGAAGTTATTATTTCAAACTTTTCTTTGATATAAAAAATCTCTTTGACATATGAGCCACAAATTTATCGGCTTGGTCCATCTTAACCCAATATCCCGCAACAAAAACAAAATCTATATTGTTACGGTAAGCGCTGGGTCTCAACTGGCTGAAGGCAAAGTAGTCACGCACAGAATGCGGCTAGAGCCTAATTACTTGAACTTGTCAATTGTTCCTTTTTGTTGTTTCCAATCGCATAACGTTGTTGCCACACCATGCTTTGTCAATTGTTTACGAAATTATGTGATTGGAGAGCACGTCGTTTTTCTTTTTTGGAAAATTTGGTAGCATTGTTGTACACCAGTTTACTTAATTAGTTAGGTTTGATGCAATATGTTGTCTTTCGTGTTTTTTTTTTTATTTAAAATAAATATTTTAACCCTTTGCATCCAAACCATTTTTTAGTATGGATGAATTTAGTTTGGATAACATATTTTTTCGAATAGCAGGTATGTCAGCATCAGTCTTAATGAGAAAAGTTTTGTGAGAGATTTTATGAAAGGCAAGAGAAGGCCGCAACTCATCTCTAACGTCAATGGCCCCAGTCTAAATGGTCTAAATAATTTTTTTGGTGAACCTCTACCTTTTGAAGAACATTCTTCTATTAACTTGACAATTAATCAAAGCGCTATGGATTCTCTGTGTCGATTACGTTATATCTGGTATGTAATCAAAACCATTTCCAAAATATGTTTGACTGCAAATGTAGTTACTGTCCATCCGTGCCATGTTCTTCTTGCTATATAATAAGGGTTTTGAAAACAGCAGCGCATGTTTCGTCGAACGTGTCGAGATTTCCGCTAACAAAAGAACGTTCGCCGACAGCACATTTTGTTTAGCCGAACTTTACAAAAGAGAGTCATTTTGTACCGTACCTTCCTGTACCGTTGGGGATAAAAATTGAATCTACTATCTACATGGATCACAAGACCGAGCCACTTCAGCAAGGAGACTATACTCTGGTAGACGTAGAAGGGTGTGGCTTGTTAAAGATGACGAAATAGCCAATATATCAAACGCAGCTAATAATAATTAATCGATTTGAATAATTTTCAGTTGAAAGCACGCCTACAAAACCCTAAAAAGCAACACCAAGGCCCCTTTTTATTTGTCGTTCGTCCACCTACTCATACTGTAAAGCCGGTTTATGACAGATTGGAAGCGCTCAGCTGGGGAGTATTAGACAATGCGGCTCAATCAGCCGCATCGAAGTCCTTGCGATTACCAGTTGTTTGCGTTGACGGATCATGCACAAACTACGTTTTGGTTCGTACGAAGATATAAAAAACAATTCGATGAATGGCCCGCGATAAAAGGAAAATATTTTTATTTCATAAATTGTCACACAGATGATAACAAGCGCATAGCTAACAGTGGATAGTACTTCGAATAACAAATTTATTTTTTATATATTATATTATTATAGTCTATATTGCTCTTAGAGAAAAATCCAAATACGTGTGTTGATTAAACATTGCTTTTTCCCGAGAAAAATGCCGCTTAAAGTCAACAGTGACTTGAAAAGTGTTATAGCAACTCTTCCCTGGCGAAAACCTGTTTCGCGTTTATATTCAGTTCTTTTGCAAGAATGACTGAATACCAAAAGCTAACTTTCAGTTACGTGGTTATCCCACAGTTTGCCTTTTAATCCACTACGTGATTACCCCCTGATTTTGGACTAGGACGTATGGAGACCGGGCTGAATACAGCAGAGGCCTAAAACAGGCAGTTACAGCGTAAAACATCAAAAAAGTCTTAAAAATTGTTCTCGATGATCGAAAAGTGAACTTCCAAGAAATATTTGACAAACTAAAGATGTGAACAAGAATATATTCTAAAAAAAGATTTTGACATAGGAAAAGCATTCTCCAAGTCCGTGTTTACTCACAGTAGAATAAATACAACGTATCGCAAGTTGATTACTATAATGGTGAAACTGTATTAAATTCTGCCCAATCCAACGTAGCCTGATTCCAAGTCCCAAAAAAAAGTTCCTGAAAAAAATTTGAACTTTTGCAAAACTTAGCCAAGGCAAGTTTAATTATAAACTTTTTAACTCAATTAGGCCCTTTTAAAATAATGTAAACGGGTTTGTTTCCTAATTTGTTTATAGCGTCCCGTAGGGTCCACTACGACTTCATATTTAAACTAAAGTTTGTAATTTTTATTATCACGCTACGACCCGCTAACATGCTAAATAATGTTGCTAGGTTTGGTGTATTCCCATTGATTAATTGTTCATATGATGCACCCTTAGTCGATGTATACCAGCTGATAAGTTTGCCGTTGGGCTAATTTAGACATGGGTTACGTCCAGCTACCAGGGTGCATCCGCCCACTGAGTCGAGCCCGGCTCGCTACAGTTCCAATTTCAATATGCTCATACATGGCGATGCTGTTAACGGACGAAACGGACGCCCATCCGTAGGCTAGATGGGTATATGTTTTTGTTTTGCTTATAGTTGCATATTATATAGTTGTTTATATTAATTTCATGGTTTCAAGATTGCTTCTTCTTTAATCTTAAGCAATATTTAATTCGTTGAACCTACGTTGTATCCGAATTATATGTGTGTGAAAAGATATATAAACAAATAAATGAGATCAATGTGAAAACTGAAGCATCTTTTCAGGATCTTAAGATAATTTTTCTCTTTTAAAAAGGCTTCGAAATGTTACACAGTTTAGAGATGTTTTAGCTACCGAATTCGGATATTTGGTAAGAACTCAATTAGCTTTATGATATGCGTGTTCGGCGATTTGAATTTAGATTTAAATTGTCAGCCGTCAACAAAATTCTCCCTTTAACCGCACGTTGATGAGCTTAGTTAAAAATGAAAATGACTAATAGATAAAGAACGTGGTATTCTTATGTTCGTTGTATCCATGCATATAGACCTCGGACTTATATATTGTATTATATTCTTCTCACTTAGATATATTAATTGCTTTATTGACAATCAGCAATGGATTCACCCATTTTATTAAGCAAAGAGCTACCGGACATTGAAGTAAGTTTCATTAAAAAGTTTATTTTTAAGACTGCATTATTTATTAATTATAATTTCAGAACTTGCTTAATTTAAATCCTCGCGTTAAAACCCAATGCACGGTTGTGCCTACAGCGCTTACAAAAATTACTAAAAAACATTGGAAACGTAACGACGATCATAGCGCCGCGGTAAATATGTGAAACAGTGGAACTGACCCACAAGTCTATTTTTATTAAAAATTATTTTGTAGGATGGCCCACGACTTTGTAATAATTTTGAAGACATCAAACGTACCACCTTATCAGAGAGAGCAGCCTTAAGGGAGGCAGCTCGCTGCTTAAAATGTGCGGATGCCCCATGCCAGAAATCATGCCCCACTCAATTGGATATTAAAAGCTTTATAACGAGTATCGCAAATAAAAATTACTACGGAGCCGCTAAAGCGATATTTTCTGATAATCCTTTGGGTTTGACCTGTGGTATGGTTTGCCCTACCAGTGATTTATGCGTGGGCGGTTGTAATCTTCAGGCCACGGAAGAGGGACCTATCAATATTGGCGGTTTGCAGCAATTTGCTACAGATGTTTTTCGTCAAATTGGTATCAAGCAAACAAAATCATCTTTTCAAAAGCAACCTAAACAACCGCACAAAAAAATTGCTTTGTTAGGGGGTGGACCCGCTTCTCTATCTTGTGCCACGTACTTAGCACGTTTAGGTTACAAAGACATCACAATTTATGAGAAACGTTCTTATTTAGGTGGTTTAAGTTCTTCGGAGATCCCTCAGTACCGTTTACCTATACATGTTGTTAACTTTGAAATACAATTAGTTCAGGATTTGGGAGTAAAAATTGAAACTAATCGGCAACTATCCACAAAGGATATAACTGTGAAAGTAAATAAATTTATATGAAGTATACAGATTCTTTTTTCATACAAATAATTGTTTCAGCAACTTTTGTCTGCTAATCATGTGGTGTTCTTGGGCATTGGGTTGCCTGAACCTAAAACCCTGCGTATCTTCGAGGGCTTATCTGAGTCGAGCGGCTTCTACACTTCTAAAAGTTTTCTTCCTCGGGTAGCTGATGGTTCTAAACCTGGGTTATGTTCATGTAAAGCCGACACCATCTTACCTCAACTTTACGGCAATGTCATCGTTTTAGGTGCGGGTGATACTGCTTTTGATTGTGCTACATCAGCGCTGCGTTGTGGCGCTAAACGTGTTTTTGTTGTGTTTCGTAAGGGCTCCTCTGGCATAAGAGCTGTACCTGAAGAGATAGAATGCGCTCGCGACGAAAGATGTGAATTATTGCCATACCTGACACCGCGTAAAGTTTTGTTAAATTACGGAAAAATCGTGGGCATGCAATTTTGCCGCACTGAACAAAACGAAAATGATCTATGGGTGGAAGATGAAGAGCAAATCACTGTCCTGAAGACCAATTTTGTTATATCAGCTTTTGGTTCTGGCGTATGGGACAAAGATGTCATTGCAGCCATGGCTCCCGTACCATTAACTAAATCGAATTTACCTAGATTCAACCCAAAAACTTTAGAAACATTAGTACCCGGTGTATTTTGTGGTGGTGATTTAGCAGGTACTGCTGACACAACTGTGGAATCAGTTAATGATGGCAAGGTAGCTGCCTGGAGCATACACTGCCATTTGGAAGGTCTATCCCCAAACTGTCCTGCACAGTTGCCATTATTCTATACTCACATCGACAATGTAGACCTATCAGTGGAAATATGTGGTTTAAAGTTTGAAAATCCTTTTGGGTTGGCTTCAGCCCCACCTACTACAAATGCAGCTATGATTCGTCGAGCTTTCGAACAAGGTTGGGCTTTTGCGGTGACTAAGACTTTCGGTCTTGACAAAGATTTGGTAACCAATGTTTCGCCGCGTATTGTACGTGGTGTTACTTCCGGTTATCACTATGGGCCTCAACAGAGTTCTTTTCTAAATATTGAGTTGATTTCAGAGAAGAAATGTGAATACTGGTTCCGTTGTATAACTGAATTGAAAAATGATTTTCCTTCTAAGATCATAATTGCAAGCATTATGTGTCAATACTCAGAAGCAGATTGGACCGATTTGGCAAGCAAGGCTGAAGCGAGTGGAGCTGATGCTTTAGAATTAAACTTATCTTGCCCCCACGGCATGGGTGAATCTGGTATGGGTTTAGCATGTGGTCAAGACCCGGAGTTAGTAGAAAATATTTCAAAATGGGTACGGAAAGCTGTAAAAATACCGTTCTTTGTTAAACTTACTCCAAACATTACCGACATTGTGAGCATTGCAATTGCAGCTAAAAAAGGCCAAGCGGACGGTGTGTCCGCCATTAACACTGTGCAGGGCCTAATGAGCTTAAAGGCGAATACTACACCTTGGCCAGCGGTGGGAGTGGAAAAAAAAACTACTTATGGAGGAGTTTCCGGTAATACTACCAGACCTATGGCCCTGAGAGCAATTTCCGCTATTGCGAATAAATTGCCTGGTTTTCCTATACTTGGTATAGGTGGCATTGATTCAGGAGAAGTAGCTTTGCAATTCCTACAAGCTGGAGCCAGCGTTTTGCAAGTTTGTTCTGCTATACAGAATCAGGATTTTACTTTAATCGAAGACTACTGCAGTAGTTTAAAGGCCTTGCTTTATCTAAAAGCCAATCCGCCCCCCGTAAATGGCAGCGTTTGGGATGGGCAATCACCACCTACCCCAAAACATCAAAGGGGCAAAAGAGTGCTACACTTAACAACAGAAAAGAACGAGGTAATTTGGAGTCAATCGAAAACAGAAGATATTTAGATTCACTCTTTTGTAGATTCTAGGTTTTTTTGGCCCCTATCGGAAGCTAAGACAAGAGCGCATAGCTAAATTGCATGAAGAAAAAGGGCCCATGTGGCAAGTAGAAGAAAATAACTGTATGACTCAAGACGATTGCTGTGCTGGTCCACAAGCTGCTCCGAAACTCTCAGAGGTAATAGGAAAGGCATTGCCCTTTATAGGAAGCTATAAAAGTTTGGACAACAAACAGCAAGCAGTGGCGCTTATAGATGACGTAGGTTTAACCGGCTTGTACTTCTAATTTTATTAAACTATTTATTTTTATGAGTTTTTCTAAAGGATCTGTGCATTAATTGCGGCAAATGTTATATGACTTGTGCTGATAGTGGTTACCAAGCTATTAAGTTTGACTCTGACACTCACATACCTCATGTAACCGAGGATTGTACTGGATGTACCTTGTGCGTTTCAGTTTGTCCCATTATCGATTGCATCAGGTGAAATTATGATGAAATATAATGATTTAAATCGTGGATCCATTTACCTCTTCTTCACATATTTTTATTTTAGCATGGTACCCAAGATATCCAAGCATATTGTTAAACGTGGTTTAAGTGAAGAAAAGTATGTTCACGCCTTAACTCCTGTGCGTCAAATGCTTTAAATTCGTTGCGGTTGATTTTATTTTTGTATTTATTCCAAAAATTTTATAAGCATGGCATTCTCTGCTTTTGTATATTTGTATAAAGATTTTTACTTCAATTATTAAATAGTTAATCCTTACAGTAAATTTTTGATACCCACCATCTCGTACAAATATCTAATAAAATTGTTGGACAGAATGTCAGGTACTCAATCGATCAGTTTGTCTTATAGTTATAATTTTTCACGTATGCATATGTGCGTATGTGCGTATTTTTGTATCTAAGGGAGAACAAATTTAATACAACTTTGTTCTTATACGATAGGTACATTAGTAAGATTTGAATTATATAATTATTCCTTTAATAGCAATCGAAATGGACATAAAAGTCCTTAAAATATATATTCTGTGATCATCAGAATCTTATCATCGTAGTAAAGTCAGTCGGACCACAATTTCCATATTACAAAATAATGCTTACCATTTTGGCGGAGAAGTCCAAATCTTCTGATTTTTCGGTTGAAACCCAATGTTACATATTACACAATTATCAGCTACTTATTTTACTATTATCCGCAATTACAATAATAAGAATTAAATAAATGAATTGCATGCATTGCTAGTGCAAATTTTTTTCTAAATTTGTAAAATAATTTCCTAAGTTTCGATTTTGCTAATCAGTCTTTTTCGTTAGCAGCTTTCGAAATTTACTGAATGTTCACATATTTATAACGTAAAAAGCAAATCTATTTGAAGCGTGGATAATTGTTTTTTCTATTCTGCATGCTAAATACAAATGCCTGCATATGCACAAATAATCAAATAATACATATAATTTAAAACCATTTACTCTTAATATAGTGTATGTATTTTTAAAACAATCTTATCCGCCTGGGTGGCCGAGTAGGCAAGAGTCTCGACTAGCAACTCCAGTGGTCGTGGGTTCGAATCTCAAGTGCGGTAGAGTTTTTAATAAAAGCCGATAGCCTTAGATGCTAGTGCTTTTAAGAGTTTAGTCTTAGAATTTATTTCTCTGGCGAAATTAATAATAATAATAAAACAATCTTAAATAAATCAAAGATAAAATATATAATATATTGAATATATTATATCCATATTAAAGTAAAATGAGCATTTACAATATAATGATAAATTAGCTGTGTGTATTAGCGCATCCAACATAATTATTGGCCATTATAATGGTCTAATGACAATTTCAGTAGTTAGTTCTTTCATTTAAAAATTGAATTAAAAATATTTTTATGTACGTATTTTATTATTATGTTCTTATGCATGTAAAATGTAAATATTATAAGTAATAATTATCTTCTTACAAAAAAATCAAGCTATATCTAAGGTATCACTTGCTTTCATTCGTTTTTACCGCTGTGTAAAACTTAAATGAAAGGAAGGCAAGCCATTCACACAAGATTTACAGCTTCACATAAAAATATATTTGTGTGAATACGTATACGTATAAGCCTTGATTTATATTTCCGTTCTCAGTCTGACCCTTTCAAAGGATGATGTATTTTATTCTTTCTTATGAAAATCAATTTTTGCTCAAGTGTCAAAATATGTCGTTCTATTTTTAAATCTATTTAAACGATGCTATAGAATATCATCCTTTCAAGATTTAAGCCCGATTCATATATTTATTATAGTAATAACAACGGCATTTATTCACATATATAGTATATGTGCTTGCGCTCTTAACATTTTTATATTATAATAAAATATTATTAGTATTATTATAATTTTAGACTAATGAAACAAATTCTTAGACTAAAAGGAAAAGACATTGACCACTGGCAACACAGGGTATCGGCTCTACTTCATAAAAATACTTACTTTACTACTACTACTTTAGATATTGAGACTAGTTTCAATAAAGTAATATATTCTATCGATATTCTGTTCTGCAGCTGATTTTAGAATGTCCATAGGATTTGCTCCAAATGCAATTTTTTTAGCCAAGGAAAAGTTAAGGCAGTCGCAGAAAATGTGTTTTATACTGAGAGACCAAGGCGATTTCAAGGAATTAATTGAACGTTAATAAAAGAGCAGTGCTGGCGATGGTATTATAGATTTCTTTCTGTATTTTCTCTTTAACTTTTCTTCCGATGTATCTTTGAAGATCCAGCATTTCCATGACATTATCCATAATTAGAGGTGCAGACGCAATATAGTTTGCCGCTCGATCAGCCTGCTCATTTCTCAGTAAACTGATATGACTTGGTACCCATAACATTTTAATTTTTTCGCCAATGGTGACTTTCGAATTTTCTTGGCAATAATAATCTTTCCCTCATCTTCACCGAGAATAGGTTTGTTTGAATTAAGAGGCTTGGGGACGATTTCAGCCTTTAACTCATAAAGTCTATTTTCTAAAACTGGGCGACCAGTTTCAATTATAATATAATTTATGGGCGTCGTTTGAAAAGCATAGCAACTTGCTCTGAGGGCTTGGTAATAGACCGGCTTAAGGATGTTGATATTAGATTTTTAGCTATTGCCATATACTATCAAACAATAGTCAATCTTGCTTAAAACAACCACTTTGGCAAGATAAGTAATAGTGTTAAAGTACGCATGGCTTTTAAAAGCAACGTACTGTATGAAATTCACCCTTGTTAAAATAAAATCTTTTAACCGGAGATAGAGTGCTTTCCAACGATATTTGTTGGAACACGTGAGCCCGAGAATATAGAACGTCTGCACATTTAGTACTGGTAAGTCATTAATATGCACCAGTAGATTGCCTGCATCACATATCTGCTTTCGACAAATGTGCATTTTTTTTTGAGTTTTGTATAGAAACTTTAGATTCGAGGATATTGATTGCCTTCGTGCTATCTTTTTCTGTTGTTAAAATGTCAACATCGTCCGCGCAAAGACAGTGTTCAATTCTCGATACAAGATAAAGAATTTTACTAATTTCATTGAAAGCGATCTGAAAAAGCGTGAAAGAAAGAAGAGATCCTTGTGGAATGCCATTCGTTAGTGGAAAGATATCAGAGAGATGATTGTTAATTCTAACTTTAAACCGCTCATGCGACATGAATGATTTGATATAGTTGAAACACTTGGGTCCAACATTCCATGATTTCATGAGTCTGAAAATAACACGAAGACCAACTCTGTCAAATGCAAAAGAACGGCGATGGACACTCTACATTGCTTGAACCCAACTTGTTGCTTTGTAATCAGGTTCTTGGACTCAAGAAACCAAGGTAATCTATATGCTATAATCTTTTCTACTACTTTTGAGAGGCAAGATAAAGTACTGAGTACAAATTATAGAGTTGTTTCTGAGAAAACGATTGTCACAGTGAGATATACAGCGAAAGCACTGTAAATTTTATGTTAAGTTTACGAAGTTCATAAAAATTATTAATAAGTCTCTTAATGTTCCATTGTAGAATTTTAAAAGCTTTATTTAATTATAGTTACATGGAAACGAGTTGGATTTATTTCCTGGTACCTCGCGCTTCGCCCATGCTGCAGTAATTTTTTGTTTTGATTTTTAGAAATTCACGCAGGTGGGCATTGTTTGTTTAACGCCGAGTGCTGATCGTTGCAATTTACTCGTACAGCTTGCAGCATGTGGAGGAAGACCACAGCCAGCACAAGATGGAGCACTGTTGCACCTTTTTGCCGCATGACTCAGGCGTAGGTAGTTTTTGCATCTCATGGAATTTGGAATGTAGAATTCCACTTCATATTTATACCAAGACACATAAACCGTTTGTCATAACCGATAAGGATCAAGAGTCATAATTATCTTTCCTTTAGGAAAGCGAGTTTTTCCGTCATCATTTAAGTTAGTAAATGTATAAACTTCGGTCATACCTTGATTGCCAATTTCGCCACGTATTTCGTGTTCCGGCACATGCTTTGAGCACGGGGCATAAATTACGCCTCTAACTGAGTTAAGTTTGTCATGTATTTTAGCGGAAATTGGACATAAATTTACTAACGATTTTGACTTTGTGAGGTTTTCTGTTGCGCGCGGGTTCCCAGCGACAACGACTAAATTACCGTCGCGTAGAATCGACATAGAGTCTATATATGTTGTAATGCCATCTTAGCCTTTTTTTATAGCGAAAGGACTGATTTGTGAACTTGTTATGCTAGCGTCAGTTGAAGAAATAACAACATATTTTTTGTCAACAGGAGTGATTTTACTGATTGGCAACATCGCAAAGTCCGAATTTTTAATTTTTTTCGCCGCGGTGGTTCGTCCTCTAATAGATGAAACATATTTGTGTTTTTATTTGGCATCCCCGGGGCAATGATGCCTTTTTGCCATCTATTATTTAGTAATTTGGGAAAAAAACCATTCACTGGCAAAAGATTGAGAACTACTAATGGTAACTGTCTTCAACTTTTTTACTTCTTTGCTTTTTTTTTATATTATAAATAGAGAAAACAAAAGCACACACGGTATTCGCGATAACTAGTTTAGCAAAAACACTGAAAAGGCACAAACTAGATACACGAAAACTCTGAAACAATTAAAAGATCGCAGGCGAAAAGAAAACACGCACTACTCAGAACACGAGTCGACTGCGAATAATGTTGGACAAAATACATTTTCCATCTTTCAGTTCGTTTCAATAAAAACTTTTTTAAACAAAATTTCTTTTTATAATTTATTTTTAACATTTTCGTCTATTACAATGCAAATTCTGCAAGTCGCTCATTGTTCCAAGCTTCCTGATCAGTAAGCTTTGTGTAATCCATTCTAATTTCGAAGATCTTTTATTTAACACCCATGTTAATGGAGCTGTTAAACAAAAAGATAATCGCCATTTTGCAGCGGCCGCTATTATGCATTTACAGAAAATTTTACTGCACCGCAGTCATCAGAACGTGTACAAAACTTGTAACGTCCGCGAGCAAAGTTTAAGGAGGGTGCCTGTGAGTCCGCTTTTGCCACGAGTGTCACAATTACGGCATGCCGTTATATAACATCGCATGGTTTTACTGTTTCTCTGCATAATAGAGGCTAGCCGTTAGGTATGCAAACGAGAAGAGAGAGAGAAAAATTATGCGAAGAAATTCGGTGGTGGGTTTTTTCTCGTTTTTCTGATCGTTTTGAGTGAGTCGAGCATTAACTACCCAAGCCAACGCTTACAATGAAAATAAGCGTTTAAAAAGAAATATATATATATATATATGGATAGATATATGGATTCTTGAAACAAGAAAAGAAAAAAAGTTTCTGCATAAATTCCCATAGTTGTGGAAAAATAGAATTAATTAAGTGTCTGATATTAAATAAAACTTTAACCGTTTTGTGTAGTTTTGCTTTGCCGGAAAATAAGTTTGCATAAAAAGGACGGAGTTGTGGAAGTTAAGGAAGGTGCATGAAAATAAGAAAAGTAGTTTTTGTTCCTGAAGTGAAGCTTGCAAGATCTCAAGGAAATAAAGTAACTAAGAAAGAAAGAAAGAAAAAGGGGAACTGGACTTTGATATGCGCTTAAGTTGATTTAAAATTATTCACAAAAAAAAAAGAAAAGAAAAGAAAACAAAAAAAAAAAAAAAGGCTACATGTTACTTTAAGCATT